GAGCATAATCTTTATTTAAATGTTTGGTTGCGTTTGAACGATCAGATCATACGCAATGTAAATTAGGCTTATTGCTACGTGATATCGAATATCGGAGAAAAATTTCAAAATGATTATTAATAAAATTGCTTTCTAGTTGGAGTACGCGAGACAGAAAAATTAATCACGATCTCTCGCGTCCTCATCGCGCTCTACTTTCGCCATTCTAGCCTCTTCACTGGTGTTAGATCAATTCGAGAATTCTATTTATATGGCTGGTAACGTTGTGTATTCGGCAACACCATAAAAATTGTTATTATATACATATCCTCAGAATTTCATATTCTCGCACGCTTTCCTATTCTCCAGGAAATTAAATCAGCTTTCGCTAGAGCGCGTCTACAAATCTCTTTCTCCTGTTTCTATAAAAAAACAAATGCGAATTTTACGGGTCTCTGGAAGTTTGTTTCGTTGGAAACTCAATCTGCGACTTTTTCGTGCGGTGCGCGCATTGTTCGACCAAAACAGAGAAAAAATAGGATTTACAGGAAGAAATCAAATTACACAATGGCCGTACGGAATCATTTTAAAAGCATCGAATAACAAGTACCGATCGACATTGCAGGCTGAAAGTTTCACGAATACGGTTCGATTAGAGGATTAAAAAAACACTGTTAGTTGGTTTTATAAATTCTATCAGATTTTTTAGTTATCCAGTTTCTTAATTGGTATTTAATCTTCAATATGTGCAAATTTCTAGAAGATTACGAGAACGGCGGAAGAATGGAAACCAAAAGCATAAACCAATAGGAATTACAATACTGCGGCAGTAACAGTGGAAACGGAGAATATTAGTCCAATCTATCCACAAGCTCTACACGTAAAGGCATGCGAAAATGATACTCGAGTTTCCAGGAGGATTATCATAAAATTTTAACCAAATTCTGTATCACGAAGATTTAATATCACGTTTAATATCTGCAAATTCGAGGTATAAGGACGTGCCAAATATGGCTTCCCACGTTCTGGAAGAAAAATTTTTATTAAAACATTTTAACAGGTTTCTAGATCACAGAGATTTTATAACTCAGAGGTAGGGAAATTAATTTGCAAATGGAAATGATAAAATGGTTTGATAATTGAACTCATAACGTGTTCCCGTAATTTCATACCAAGAATTTGAATAAATTTGTAATAACAGAAAAATGTTAAACTTTATAAAACGCTCTGATTGCTATGTGCAAATAACGTAGAATCGACAGAGACTTTTGATTCTTCGTTTCGTGCAGTTGGATACGCGCAAGATTCTCGAATGCACTTCAATCGATGCGATAGACTGCTATGGCAAGCTCTGAAAAGCGATAACCTCTCGTTAACGGTAATGAACGACGAATTAACAAACGCGAGGCGAATGAACGGGTAGATGAAGGAACTTGAAAAGCAAAGGAACCCACCAGGTAAAGAACCTTTCAGAAACCAGACCCTACAGCTTTAGTCACCCTTTCGAATTTTCTTTTCTTTCTTTCTTCTCCCTTTTTCCTTTCCAATTTCTCTTTCTTTCTCTCAGACTCAGCAACTGACGATTCAAGAAAATATATATGCGTGTATGTGTAGACGTAATACATTTATCACGCGTATAGGAATCTGTATTATAACAGAGACGAACAGATCGGGCTGAGGATGCAGGCCCTTCGATTATGTGGTTCCCAACCACGTTCCAGAAGTTTCATTCGATTCCTACATTCCCTTCGGCGATTTCGGACGATTCCGACTATGTTTGCCGATCGTGGAATCGAGCACGATTACGTTTACGCGGATTTCCTTTTTGTTATTAACTTATTAAGGGCCAACGTTGCGTCAGTACGATATTTCTTTGAAATTTCGCAATTCTTTTTCAGTCAATTTACGTTAACGTATGCTATTTGTAACATTGTAATTACAAAATAAAGCTTAAAGGATTTGGTTAACATTTTATTGATTCTAGAATTTTATCAAGTTAAATCGAAGCTATGTATATTTAATTTTCAAATAAGGAAAATTCTTATTGTATAACTAATTTGTATGATAGACTTTTGTAAAACATCTATTCGTTTTATGTTAATAAAATAACATATAAGCTGCTTTATCTACCTTTCACAGTAATTTTATGTTTTACGAATTATTTTACTGTTTGATTCTTATAGAGTAGAACCAACTCAGTGTAAATCGATCATCGTTTTCACGTATTCCCACTGAAGCATCTTCCAAAACTAAATTTGTCTCTATATCGTTGTATTAAATTCTTAAAACCTCAATACCTCTGAAGATAATTCATTTCTTCAGAATCTTACTTTGATAGATAAACCAGATTTTATTATACCCTCTAGCCTGAGAAAAAATATTTCTCTCAATTTTTCCCTCTTTTTCCCGTATTTAGAATTACACCCAATTGCAGCACGAAGCGAAGTCGTGTCATGAAAAAGAATTCTTACTGTTCGTTTCTGTGAGATAAACGAATAGAGGGAAGATTCATGCGTCTGGCTGGTCGCGACGAGGGTGTGCTCGAGGGGTTGGTCGCGGCAATGGTAGTCCGCCAGGATTCTCGGACGATTTATGCTGATATACGGGAGACGAGCATGGTGGTGGATAGATTGGAAATCAACGAACAACTGAAATCGATTCGCACAACGCCGTAAAAGCAGAGCCTTTGTCTTTCGCGAACCAAATGAAAATTCCGAAAAGATGAAGTATCTATGAAAATCGAGAGGAGGAGAAAATAATATAATGAAAATTTCGAGTGACATATATTAAATTGGTGGATACGAAATATTAGTTTCTTCAATATTATGTGAATTCTACAATAAAGTTAGTGTTAATTGCATCACATATTTAAATTTAACATATTTAACATATTAAAAGTAATTTCTACATGAATCGATATAGTTTTCCAGCGATTTAATAATTTAGTTCTAAATTTCAAGAACTTTTCTTCGCTTTCTCCGCGCCTTCTTCTTAAAATAATGTTGCGTTAGATATTTATCCAAGTGGAGCGGAAGAAGTTTTCGAGACATTTCCGAAACGCTGAATTTACATTTCCAGCCGCATTCACGTCACACATTCCAAACTCAAACCAACGTAAGAAAATCGTATGAACGTTCTGATTATTCATGATAGCCGATAATGGAGTTCTCATGTTTTTGTCATAAATCCTTTTCGTATTAAATTTATCAATATGACGATAGTACGAAACTTAACAGCACGTCAAATTTCTTCATTTCGAGGAAACGAAATTCCATATTCGTCAACTTAATAATAAGAATAAGAAAATGTAAAACTAATGCGGGATTATAAGATATGACTCGACGATCGGAATACGAGGGAATACGCTGCAAAATGGGGTTGAAACGGCGCGCGTCTTCGAGTCTTGCGTTTTAAATTCGTAAAAATAGCGAAAATTCTTAATTTCTAATGAACGAGACGAGAACTCTTAATTCGAGCGTACCCATCGACCAACCTTTACGCGAGGCTAAATTATATGCCGCTCAGTTTTCCTACCTTTTCTCCGTGTTTTACTTTGTCGTTTTGCACGTAATTCCCTCGATCGTGAGCCGTTTGTTGTTTCGCAAGGTGGGAACCTGTTGTAGGAAATTGTCGAACGAACGATTCCTTCGCGATCCGAGATCTCGAGCGGAATCGTTCCAATTGTGGAACAGAAGGCAGTAAATGCCTCGTGAAATTGAATGAAATCGTGTCACGTGAAACGAACGGAGTCCATGTTAATCCACATACTATCCACAGTTTCTATAAATACAATATTTAGGTTCTTTCATAATAAAGTCGGAAAATTAGGGATACGCTATTATCTATGGAATGTATTAATATTTTATAGTTTTACGCTTCGTACGAATTATACGTATTACGTTATGAATATACAGGATGTCTCATGTTAGTCTTTCCATGCAATTATCTGTCAAAGTATTCGTTATCGGAAAAAATATTTCGAATAAAACTTGTTATGTTTCGACATATGTCCATCTTATGATGACCACGAGATTTCAAGGCGACCTTGGCTTTTTTAAATAGAGCTATACATTTTTCATACACTGTTCGATGTAGTTTTTAATTCTCTACAAAAAAAAGTATTACGGTACTTGTATTTAAAAACGTTTAGTTAAAAAGATATTTCAACGTTAATTTCGTCAAGTTGAGTGTATGAAAGATAAAAAGAACATGATCATAAAAGTACTGCGTTATCTTTCTTTGTCTCTCATGCGATAAGTTTTACAAGATCAAAGTTAAAATATATTTTAAACTAAACATTTTTCGACAGAGGTACCTAACACTTTTTTGTAGAGAATTTAAAAATGTATCGATTGGTGTATGAAAAAAATATATAATTTCACTTAAAAAGGCAACAATCAGCGTGAAATTTCAATGACACGTCCACTTAGATAAGTTGTCTATCTAGACAAGTTGTACCCATTGAAACGCAATAAATTTTACTTGAAACATTTTTCACGATAACCAATGCTTTGGGATATAATTGGAAAGATTAAAATAGGACATCCTGTGTAATAAATAATCACAGAGATTTATACACAAGTTATATTCTCTTTATATATACGTACGATTTTATGTATAAATCGCTGTTACATAAACGAGTGTATTTTTATGTTACGATATATACCATCTCTTCATAAATATATATTATATATATTATATGTATATTCATTTTTCACTTCATATACATATATACTTTTTTTTTTAATAATCATATATATATATTTATATATTTGTAAACTCGTATAGTTTCGTTTAATATGTCGTAATTATTTAAATCTTGGCTCTTTCGTTAGACAAGTACGTATCTATTTTAATATCTCTCTACGCAAAAGTAGAATACTTGCTTCGAACCTCTCTCACGTTTCCGTGTTACACACGTTCCAAGTATGCGGCGAATTTTCGTTCTCTTTCTTTTCATCGTTTCATCCTTCAACCCCCTGTCTGTCACTCGCCCTCCCATTTTCTCGTTACAACCATCGAGAGAAGCAAGAGTCGCAAGCAAGGGCAGCGAAAGAGAAAAATAAAGATAAGAAACCGAAGAGGAGACGAAGAAAATCGATAAAAAGAGAGAATCGTGTGCAGCTTCTTCGAAACGCTATCATTACTTCTCGACTTCCTAATTACGTCATCCTATTAACGCTACGTGTTAAGTAGAGCCACGAGGCTCGTGCTCGTTACGAAAAATTGTGCGTCGCCACGGCATCTCGAAATCGGTCTTAAATCCATTTCGTCTTCTTCTCTTTTTCTTTTGCTCCTTAAATTTTTTTCGTTTTTCTTTTTTTTAGCGGAAACGGACGATCAGTCTTCGTTGATCACAGAGAGTTTTGATATGGTCGTCCACGAAGTTCTCTTGGGGAACGTGTTATAAACACCGTCCGTGTCGCGTATTGTCGTATCGATGCTTTTATCGTCGTGTGTTTGCCGTCCTTATCGTCCGGCCGTACCGCATTTCGACTTCGGGACGTAATCTCGATGCGTTTGCAGTCTGATGAACTTGGCCAGCCACAATGTCGATTCTTTCGAGCGATTTCTATTTTCTAACTAATCGAAGTCATAGAATTATTTACTACGAGAGCTGCTAAGTGAATTTTGTTGCGCACTGCTGATATCGAAGCACAGTATATGATAGGATGTTAAAGACACACTTAATTTGTAAAATAATTATGAAAGGAATCATTATATTAAATAAAAGATACAGGAAGCTTTCAAATATTTCCCACTACAAAGTATCTATTTACTATTTTAAGATATTCATCGAAGCACAGAGTAAAGTTCGATCGACAACGTTAAATATTTCCAAATGTATCCATTCCATTTAGCTGATAATCGTGTTTGGTGATGAAAATGTGGTTATAGATCATGTAGAATCCACATGTGGCGGTCAACGATGCATCGCAGGCAATGGTGGAAGTTTTGCTCGATTACTAAAATCGATACTTCAGTATATGATAATAGCCCAAAATTGAACTGCATCAGAATTACTAACATCGTAGATGAGTTGTGTCGAATAATCGACAAGCGAAGAAACTTCGACTAGATACAAGATATTGCGTCGGAAACGTATTGAGAGAAACAGATTGCATCAGTCAGACGTGGCGAACGAAATGAAAAATTACACCGTATTGTAGAAGATAATATATATTTTCTTTCAATATATTATTATTATTATTATATATATATATATATGTATAAACATACATATATATATATATCCTACATACATAAAGCAATATATAAATATATAATCGATATACGACACAATCATTCAAATTAACACATATACGTTATTACAGGCAGGATATGCAATTTTATGCAACTTTTTACGAAGTACCTATGACGACTCGTTTCAATGTTCTCCTTGTTTTCTTTTCTTCTTATTCTCTTTTTTTACGTGTACGTGTATATGTACGTGTATATACGTGTACGTGTGCATTTTCTGTTTTTTCTTCGTCTTCTTCTTTCTTTTATCTCGTTTTTTTTCTGTTTATTTTGTTTAAACTCTCTTCGCGAGAAAATCGATCACTAAGAAATTTTACAAAATATCCCGATGCCTCGCTCTCGGCTTACTCGTTAAATATACATCATATAATTACGTAAAGTACGTTCACGCTTCTAATATACAAATTCTCTTTTTCTCTTCACATTCTTTCTTCCCCTTACGCGCACACGTGCACACGAAAATTCTCTCCATCCTTCACTTTTTCCTTCTTTCCGATCTCCTTTCGTTCCTTTCATCTCTTTCTCTCTCTTTCTCTCTCTCTCTCTCTCTCTCTCTCTCTCTCTCTCTCTCTCTCTCTCTCTCTCTCTCTCTCTCTCTCTCTCTCTCTCTCTCTCTCTCTCTCTCTCTCTCTCTCTCTCTCTCTCTCTCTCTCTCTCTCTCTCTCTCTCTCTCTCTCTCTCTCTCTCTCTCTCTCTCTCTCTCTCTCTCTCTCTCTCTCTCTCTCTCTCTCTCTCTCTCTCTCTCTCTCTCTCTCTCTCTCTCTCTCTCTCTCTCTCTCTCTCTCTCTCTCTCTCTCTCTCTCTCTCTCTCTCTCTCTCTCTCTCTCTCTCTCTCTCTCTCTCTCTCTCTCTCTCTCTCTCTCTCTCTCTCTCTCTCTCTCTCTCTCTCTCTCTCTCTCTCTCTCTCTCTCTCTCTCTCTCTCTCTCTCTCTCTCTCTCTCTCTCTCTGCACTTTATTCCATTTTGAATCCGTACTTTTTAAATCATTTTCTTTTCTCGCGCTTTCTCTTTTCGCCGACATTATTTCCCGAGAAATTATAAAAATATTACGGCAATCGTTATAATAGTAATCTATCCAGTTCCAGTCTATAGCCGCGTTACGCGTGTGCGATCAGATCTTCTCGACGAAAACAGGAAGTATCGGACAAACGCAATCATCACTGAGTAACAAACATTATTGGCACAGACCAGATTTCTTTGTAAACTGCTACGTAAATTTGTAAGAAATTCTTTAATTCCTTTGTAAAATATAAGAAACAGGGATGAAAAACAGTTAATGACAGCGATTTCCTCAGACACAATAAAATAATTCATTTAAATATTTTACCTAGAATCTTCATTTTTAATCATTGTTACGAGAAACTAAAACGTTCTAACTTTATCTGCTTCTGTCGCTTTCCCTCTAGTTTTTATATAAACTCCAGAATCATTATTTTTCCGACTCTATCCCTCTACCAAAGCGAATCTAGGCGAATTTTAATATCGATTTTATAATCCTTAAAATCTCATAGTTTCCACGAAGACAGTGCATTATGCATCTTTTATTACTCATCGTTATCAATTGTGATATATACTTAAACTTATAGACTCGATGGTTCTACAGAAACCGTAAATAAAGAATTATAGGTTTCACAGTTTACACAGAATTTCACATAAAAATCTGTGCCAATACCTTTGTTCAGCACTGCAGATACGTACACGTTCAATGTACGTATACATTTATATATTCTGAAAGAGAGGAGCAATTTAGTTCGATGACGATGCTGCTGTCCACGATTGTCTTTCTGTTATCGTTGCCTGCGGCGGTTTACACCTGCATTTTTCCCTAACCTCTCGCACGATTGTTCGCGATCGCCTCCGCGTCGCAATCCACTTCTCTCGGGCGTCCATACGGCGGCATCTAGAACGTCCTGTAACGAGAATACTGTGTTCTCGGATCTAAGTATCTCCTAGGTATCTCTTAAACGAGACTCTCGAACCTAGGTATCGTTTAAAAGGACATATATTATGAATCTGAATGTTCTTTCGAAAGTCAGTATCCTTGGAATGTGGATATACATATGTATGCGCCACTTGAGTGTGTATATCTTTTAAACGACAAGATCTCGGTAAAGTGAAATTGGTCATTTAAACACGAACATACGCTTTATAGGCGAATATTAACTTCGAGCGTGGATATATCCTTGCAACATGAATATTCTCCGTGCATATACGTTTTTCGATGATTCATGCATTCATCGAAAGTAAATACTTTTCGAGAACATCCCGATAACGTGGATGTTCCGCGAACACGAATATATTAAGAATATTCGCGAGCAACCGCGGTTACAAAGACGGATACATCACGACGAACAAAGACATTTCACGATACGGATATTTCTAGAACACAAATGTTGTTCAAGTATAAATATCTCGGAACACGAACGTTCTAGAGTAGTCGTACGGAACTACGACATCCAACGAGTCGTCGAAATTCTCCCTCTCTGCATTCCTATCGCCTTCAAAACGGCGATGATATTACAAGGAAGTAGATCGTTTTTCGAGGGAAGTATAAGAAGCTCCAAAGACTCGATCGCTATAGGGGGTTATTTCGCGGTACGACCGGAAATTGACAGGGGATGCACGACGAGACATCTTATATGCGTGTGAAAGAACGGCCAGATAAGGAAGATTGCGGCTACGTAGAATCGATTGTCGCGGAATTATGGTGCTCGAAATAGCTTTCAATATCTGGCGATCGATGTATCGTGTTAAAGTCTGGTTCAGGTTAATCAAGTTGGTTAAATTCAAGCACAGTAGAATTATTTATGTGATGTCATTGGAAAACGGACATTTTACATAATAGAAGATCAGAAATTTTCTATGTTATATAGATAAATAGATTCGATCGATAGGTGTACATTTAGTCAGACACTAACTGCAATTTCATTCCAATAAATGGAGTTCTATTGTAACTTCGATTCAAGTTTGTGTTCGTAAAAGTTTAATTTGCTCGAATTAAATAGCTTGAATTCGAGCGAACTGATTTCAAATGCTGAATTGACGTCGTCTGAATTAATGTCAAAGAAGACGGAGCTCGTTAAAATATCGGTAATAGTGAAAGAAAATCACTTAAAAAAAAGAGAACATGCTCTTTTATCGACTCGTTTGTAGTTCGCTGTACATATGACAAAATTTCTTCTATACTTAGTTTAATACGGCATCCATAAACTGTAACCATTTTATACCACCTTTAAAATTTTATACCGTTTTACGCAATCTCGGAGAGAATTTGAAAAAAGTAACAGATACAATCCTCGCATAAATTTTAATTTGTTCGTTTTAACATAAAGCGACACCGCGGTTCCATACAGAATTAAGCCATTTGAATTCAAACAACCTGACTAGTCTAAACAAGCCTTAACACTTCTTCCCGTATGCGAGAAAAGCCTTTACAATTCCTTTAAACTGCCTCCACGAATCCAAATACCAAATTATCCCGACGCTTTACTAAAGAATTCAGAGACACTCTCAAGGATCCTCGCGTTTCGTTCGTGATCGGCTACCAAGAGGGTGAATCTGATCTGTAAAGTAAATCTCCATTGCGTTCCGTCCTACGTGAACCAACGTGGATTCCATTCGTATAGAGCGGATCGTTAGCTCGGCTGAAAGCAAGAGAACACGCGACGTTCGTCAATCTGCGTCGCGATTCGAGATCGACGTCGGTCCCGCGTAGCCGCAATCCGGTGGAGAGAAACGCGGAGAGCCTCGGGGAATTAGGGTCGCTGTGGAAGATCGGGCGATTTCGATTGCTTCGACGGGGAAACGAGAAGGGAACGACAAACGGGGAAAGGGAGGGTAGGAATATTGGGGGAGGGGTGGTGAGGGGTAAAGGAAAGGGAAAAAAACGAGGAATTCCTTTCCGCGTTTAGGCGCGCGATCTACGTCGATCGTCGTCTACGTGGGCAACCCGCAATGGTACGCATCATTCACTCGCCGTCAAACGATCAAATTGAGTGAAATATCTGCCTGTTTCTCTGACTTTCGTTCCACTTCTCTTTTCTCTTCTCCGTCTTTTCTTTATCCACCTTTCCCTTCTCATCGTTTTCTTTCTCCATTACCATTTTTCCGCCCCTTTTCATCCCTCCTCTCGCGTAAAACACAACATTCATACATGGTTCGCCTACTCCTAAGTAGTCTCATCTTTACTTTTATTGCTTTGAAATTCCGTATTGAAGACGCAAACTCTCTCGGCTCGTCTTGGCCGATGAATAAAACGTCACGTGGAGAATGATGCGTGTGTGGGAAAGGACGGGCGACATGGGATTTTTTATTTCTTTTTTTTTTTTTTAGGCAGACGAGGATGTGGGTGACTGAAAAGTCTCGCCTTTCCGTGTCAATTGAGATTGGCGGGGAGGGTAG